CGCCCATCTAGTCAATTGACTACTCTACAGAGTAGAGCCTAAGTGGCACAGATGTCAAGTTTGTGGAGTGCCTGACGAGATAATGTCTTGTTGACACACAGATTGGATTAAATCAGACCTATGTTGCTGCCTGCATCTCTAGCACCGGCTGCTGCTCAAGCTCTGTAGAACTAGACAACTGAACTTCACATTTAGTGTGGGAGGCAGCAATATAGCACTGCCACATTGTAACTGAACTTGAGGCATAGTTGCTGAAATACTTAACTGATGTACAGTAGTAGGTCATAGATTATGATGTTGTGATCTAGGCTGCTATCATATTGTGCATAGGTATGTTGTTATTTCTAGCCTGTACTGTTTCAGTGTAGACTGTTCTGTATTCTAAGAATCTAATGGTCTCAAGGACCGCTTTAAAGGGGAGGTGGCAATTATTTTTTGCTAAATCCCAGAATTCCAAACCTAGCTTAATATTAAAATCTGGGTGTGTTGAAACTTTTCTCAAAGGTGAAGAACATAGGCTTTCCAATATATTATAAAATGTGTCTGTGTGTGTGTTAAAAAAGGATTTAGGTATCCTTATTTATAATATTTCTGAAGTTTTAGAACATCTCCCCCCCCAGATAGTTCTATAATTATGAAGGTACTAAATTCAGCTTTCTTAAATTAAATGGCAGATGGGCCATCTTGTAACAAGCATCCTGTAGATCTTTCTAGTTCTGATTTCCACAAATGTTCAACTTGATTAAAGTGTTTGTTTCCACAAGGAAGCCATCTTCAGAGTGGCTTACAAAAGACAAGAAATAATTCATCCCTCATACTTAAAATGTGAATAAATTAGAATGTCCCGTTGGCACTCAAATAAGTATAATGAGTATGGCTTATTTATTTCTGGGCAGATGTTAATTAATGGCAACACCGCCCAGTTTTGATGTCTGTACCTAATGGTGACATGCTGTGATGGATATTCAGAATGGCTTCCTCAGAATTTTGGTCTTAAAGCAGAGCAAGAAGATCTAACCACCATGTTACTCCTAGACTCTTCTGAATACTAATTGAGAAGGATAGAAGCATTAGGTTAGCTTTGCATGCTTGCCAACATCTAAAGCATTTTTCAAGCAAAGCCCTGAGACCTGGAAGCTTCCGGGGCAGTATATGTGTGTGGTAGCTAATAGAGCCTAATACTTTACCTCGTGTAACTTTCAGTGCAGTCCTAACTTCATGATTACTTCTTGTGCTTTCCTATAGTTAAATTTAGGATGACAGCCTAAGGTTATAACTAAACTATGTGGAGATTGCCTTTCTCTCCCTGTCCCTCAGGAATGCATCCGTGCCCTAGGGCAGAATAAACAACATACACCTTTTCGGGAGAGCAAACTTACTCAGGTGCTGAGGGATTCCTTCATTGGAGCAAATTCCAGAACTTGTATGGTAAGTTAAAGAGCTAGCTAGCTTATAACAGTTAAGATAGGAATTTGCTGAGGTTACTGTTTAATCCTATCATGGTTTATCTTGATAATACAGTCGTGTGGAAAACAAAGTACACCCTCTTTGAATTCTGAGGTTTTACATATCAAGACATAATAAAAATCACCTGGTCCTTAGCAGGTCTGAAAATTAGGAAAATACAAACTCAGATGAACAGCAATACATGATATATTATACCATGTCATTATTTATTTAACAAAAATAAAGCCAAAATGGAGAAGCCATGAGGGAAAAACTAAGTACACCTTATGATTCAATAGCTTGTAGAACAGCCTTTAGCAGCAATAACTGCATGACTTTATCAGTCTCACACATTGTTATGGAGGAATTTTGGCTCCTTTCTCTTTACAATGTTGCTTCAGTTCATTGAAATTTGTGGGTATTTATTTATGCACAGCTTTCTTAATGTCCCACCAGCATTTCAATTAGATTGAAGTCTGGATATTCGCTGGGCCATTGTAACATCTTGATTCTTTTCTTTTCAACCCTTTTGTTGTAGATTTGTTGAGAATTTTGGTTAAATGTATTCTCAGGACATAAGCAGAGTTAGGAGATATCAGTTTGCAAAGACACTATAACACTGAGAGAGTAAAATACCAACTCAGTCTATTATATATGGAGAGAATAGACAGTCATCTGGCAACATAGCATGACATGGTACAACACATAGCATAGAAATAAGTGATCTGACTTACAGCAGATAAGATGTCCCCTTTACACATGACTTGTATACATTCTTGGGACCAATCAGAAAATACATTACTTTATTTTCTACTTACATAAGATTCAATCAATCAATGTTTATTGTGGTGCCTCGCTAGACAGTTACCCCGCATGACAGTTTTTTCGCTTGACACTGACTTTTTGCAATCGTGATAGTGATTTGCAAAACAGTGATTCCTATGGGGGAATTTCGCTAGACAATGTTTGGTCCCTGCTTTGCAAACCGATTTACGCTAGACAACACTTTTGACAGCTCCCTCCGCGCTCGCAAAACAGGTGTTTTCGGGACCTAAGCTTCGCAAGACAGCAATTTAAACAGCTGATCAGCGGTTCGCAAAGCGGCTTTCCTATGGCCGATCTTCGCTAGACAACGGCGATTCTTCCCCATTGGAACGCATTAAACAGGTTTCAATGCATTCCAATAGGGAAAGGCTTTTCGCTAGACAATGACTTCGCTAAACAGCGATTTCAGTGGAATGGATTATCATTGTCTAGAGAGGCACCACTGTATTTGCATTAGCCATATGCCATAGCAAAGTAAGTATAAAATCTACAAAGATACAGAATCAACGCATCTGAGTCAAAATAACATGAATAGATATGCAACATAAGATTACATCATGTACAACAGCTGTGCAACATCAAATTAACCTTGGTACCCACACCTGAATACACTCAGTACATGATTCAGGTAAAATCAGCCATTTTACTTTCAACTGTACAACATTTATATTTAATACATTTTGAGATCAAAATCTCAAGAAGATTTGCTGGTGTGGTTGGGATCGTTGTCTTGTTGCATGACTCAGTTTCGGCCAAGCTTTAGCTGTCAGACAGATGACCTCACATTTGACTCTAAAATACTTTGGTTTACAGAGGAGTTCATGGTTGACTCAATGACTGCAAGGTGCTCAGCTCCTGTGGCTCCAAAACAAACTCAAATCATCACCCCTCCACCTCAGTGCTTGATAGTTGGTATGAGATGTTTGTGCTGATATGCTGTGGAGTTTTTGCCAAACGTGGCGCTGTACATTATGGACAAACATCTTCACTTTGGTCTTGTGTGTCCAAAGGACATTGTTCCAGAAGTATTGTGGTTTGTCTAGATGCAACTTTGAAAACTGTGCTGCCATGTTCTTTTTAGAGAGAAGAGTCTTTCTTCTGATAACCCTTCTGAACAAACTGTACTTGTTCAGTCATTTTCTAGTTTTACTGTCATTAATTTTAACATTTAACATGCTAATAGAGGCCTGTAGAGTCTGAGATGAAACTCTTGGGTTTTTTGCAATTTCTCTGATCATTGTATGGCCTGACCTTTGGGTGAATTTGCTTGGGTGTCCATTCCTGGGAAAATTGGCAACTGTCTTAAATGTTTTCCACTTGTGACTTATCTTCCTCACTGTAGAATGAGGGATTTAAAATTATTTGGAAATGGCCTTATAGCCCTTCCCAGATTGATGGACAGCAATAATTGGTTCTCTGTGATCATTACTGATGTATTTCCTTCTTTGCATTGTGTTAATACACTTGAATGCTCCAGACGAGCAAACTGGATTGGATTTGTATTTTGATATCTGGCATTAGACAGAGATACTAGAAATAGTGCCCTTAGAGCTCTTCTTGCTGAGTTAGGATATAAGCTTGAGCACACTTGATGGCAAGAAGTTTAAGATGTGTTGTTCTTAAGTCCTGTTAAGCAGAGCTGGCAGAAATACAGGAAGACTAGGTGGAAGTGACTATAGTAGCACAGAAAGCAAGGTCTGGGTTATATAGACTGCTATTTTTTTGCATACTTTCAGATTGCAATGATCTCCCCAGGCATGAATTCCTGTGAATATACCCTAAACACTCTGCGTTATGCTGATAGGTGAGTGATTGCAAAAGTTGCCTGTAACATTTTGGTAAACTGACTATAAAAGGGAAATTCGAATATATCTGTAAAAAGCAAGAAGAAAAGCAGCTGTGTACGTTTTCTATTTATAAATGGCCTTAGCCTTGAAAAACATTTGCACCATGATAACTGATGCAAAGAATTGAATGGAGTTTTCTTTTGCATGTTCAAAAGGCAGGCTGGAACTGTTCGCAGACAATGTTTTACCCTTGCTTAGAGCAAGGGTCTCCAAACTACGGGTCACTTCCGGCCTGCCTTGCCTTTTTTATCCGGCCTGGCTAATTCCGCAGGCTCAGGTCCATTCCCTTCAGCCCGTGTGTGCGTACGTATGTGTGTATGTTTATTTGGCCCTCAAAAATGTGTAAAATATATGATGTGGCCCACATGCTGAAAAGTTTGGAGACCCCTGGCTTAGAGTATGTCTCAGGTACAGGCTGACGTCCTGTCATGTGAAACTGTGCCAGTGGAAGCACGCTAGGCATTATATCCAGACAGTCAACATTGCTTAATTTGATTGTGCAATCAGTTGTGTGCACCCCATTACAACCATTGTGTGACACACATGCAGAAACAAATTGTGCAGCTTATATACCTCCCCATAATGCTTAAAGCACTATGTGGTAGAACAAATTGGTGTGTTCATATATAACTGAGTGAGAAACAAACAGGCTGAGGCAGACATTGATTAAACACCCCTCAGCTTTCATGTGTTTAATATTACCAAGTGTATAATTATGGCAGTTTTCATGTCAACTCTCTTTGCTCTGTTTTCAGAGTAAAAGAACTCCCTCACAATGGAACAGCCAGAGAAACACAAAACTGTATGGAAATTGAGAATGAAGAGCTGGAGATCAGTGAGGAAGAATCAGACCACCTTCGTGAGGTACACATCTAGGTAGCTAGGGACCACCTTTTGGGAGAAGCAGAATTTCGTGTGTTTGTGCTAACATCTTCCCTTGTAAACAACAGCTTTCTGAAGATGAGTTGTCTCCTCATCTGTCCAGTTTTCGTGAAGCTGTCACTCGGATTAGGGAGCTTGAGGAGAAGGCAATAGAGGAACTTAAGGAAGTCAGGGAGGTATGTCTTCATGGGTGATGTATTAAACTTACATATTGCGTTCTGTTTACTGATGTGGGTTGTATTAGTGAGAAATTATAACTATGTTGCAAATAAGAAGATAGCTGCTTATGGCTCTTTATTAACACTTGCCATAGTTCAGGATTTAGTTTCCTGCAGTTTTTTTGGACCAAATGTTAACAATCGTTTCAGTCATATGATGCATGTGTGAAAGCCACTTTATAGGAAAAGTACACCCAGTTCCTTAACTCTCCTTACTTCTGCATTCAGAAAATGAATGATTGTAACTATCTGCTGGACATTGCGGAACAACCAGAATATGACTTGGAGGCATTTGTGTACCAAGCCCAGTGCTTCATAAATGAAGGATCCAAAAGTTTCCTCAGTCTGAAAGGTACATAGGGGGCTGCATTTGTGAACTTGGTACTGAAGATATTCCAGATGTCAAAGTGCTAGCTGATCCTAGGGGGATGGCCTTTCTGTTTTGTTGTGAATGTTCTGAGACACTTTTTCCAATCACATATTTAAACACCATATAGGGATTATGGAATTGCTATGCAGAAGCTATACAATTTATATTATCACCAAAGTTGGGGAAGGATGGGGTGACATCTTGGGCTTTGCAGTGAATAATGCTGTGTGCTGGATGTATTCGTCTTTTAGTAGATAGTGCCAGTTACACTTGTGGTGGTACTATGCAAACTAACAAATGAATCTCCACGCTGCCAGGACTGTGGAAACTTTACTTATGTGTAGGATAGCTTCCTTAAACCAGCTTAGTAGCATTGTCAATCTCCCATTTTTATCTTGTTCTACCCAGTTAATGCTGCTACTGCCCCAACTTGCCAGTAATTTACTTCTCTCAGTAGAATCCTTTATGTCACAAAGTCACTTTTCTTCTCATAGCAGTGGATTAAAGAACTACCCTATGTCTTTATGTTTCTGTCTTCTAGTTTTTCTCCACTGACAATTCTAATGTGTTTGTGAGACTCTGTAAGAACACTTCATACTGTCCATTCCACTCTAGCAAAAAGACAGAAATAAGACGCTGGGTGCTTTTAACTCTGTATATATTCCAGATATCCTGGGTTCTTACTTTCTCAATTTTTGTGTTTTACATCATCATGTTATGTGCACCTCAAGCTAACTTCTATGTTTTGCTCTTTCTCTTCCCTACACAGACACACTGGAAGAATTGACCCTTGCTATGCAGGTGGAAGAGCAGGCCAGCAAACACCTAAATAAGAGGCAACTTTAACATCCACCCAATTGTTAAATGAATGTTTCTTCTCTCCAGTTGTCTGTCACTTCTTTGGTTTGGTGTTGTATTTTACATGCAAATGCAAGGTTCAGCCTATCTGATTTGAGAGAGTTTTTTTTTCCTTGCTGGTGATACTTTCCTTGAAGCAGGCAAGAGATAGTGCTCTTCCAGAATGTGGTATCTCTGTCCCTTTCTTGGTACTGAAAGTTACAGAGAAGAAGGTGATTTAATATCACTTGGTAAGCATGTGTATATTTCTAGTGTATATAAAATTTCTGGCAAAATATGCTTTGAATGTTACCAGAGTGTAATCCAGTGACTCAAACTGGATTTGCTATTTTGTAAACTTTTAAATAGGGAAGGAGTAGCTAAAATTTAAATAAATGTTTCTGAATTCATTGTTTTGTCTTACAAGGGCACTGAAGTTTTTCGTGCAAGTCTGTACATTATCGGCTGTTCTGATGGTAATTTAGTTGTGGAAGTGTGAAGAACATAGTAGGATGAGTACTCCCTGTGCAAAGAGATCTAGTAGAACATTTATTAGCTGGAAATATGTACACAGGGAGGTGTGTAAATATTTCTAGCTAATAAATGGTAGCACTCTTCTGGCCAGCAGAACAAGTTTACTTATCTTCCAGCCTACCTATGGCATGAGGAAACCTAGAAACCTTCCATTTCTTTCTGTTTCCAAATTACAATTTCTTAGCAGCTTCTCTTAAGTAGTTCTTGCTTTGTCTTTTGTGTTCCCTTCACCCAGCTCACTGTTACAAAGGTTTTAAAAGAGCAGGCTGGTCCTGCTCTAAGCAATCTCCTGTTAGTTATAAAAGAAGGCAGAGAGAACATCCTTCTTTCCTTCTCAGTGTCAGCATCCTTCTTGGAATTCCTTTACCAATAAAACATCTTGCCAGATACTATGCATGCTTTAACAGACAGTGTAGTCTTGTGCAACAGTGCATGTTGGGATGGGCAAGTGCACATGTTGTTCAGTGTAGTCTTTGTGCTAACTTACAGGACAGAGGAATGAACACATTTGCAGAAGACCCTTCCCAACCCTGATGCCCACCAAATTACTTGGACTATGTGTCCAAAATCAGCAAATTCTAGACACTGACACTGTAGAATCAATTTTCAATGCAACCTAGCAACATAGATTTAACTGCCCTTCTCTTTCCACAGGCAAATAAGGTCTTTGTGCAGGTTGGTTGTTGCACCAGCATGTCAGTACAGATGAGGGAGGTGAGCTGTTCACTCTCCTGACATGCTCCCTGGAGTTCTACCTCCCTACATTGGAATGTGTTACAATTATTTCCCCTCCAGTTTTAACACAGGAAGAGAACTCTGGCAGGGCTTAGGAGGTAGGGTTTTTTATCTACAGACTCTTTGTCTGCCACCTCTGCATAGATTTCTTTTGTTGACTTCTGGTGCACATCCAGGAATGCAAGTAGAAACTTGTTAATGAGTGATCATTGCCTCTCTAATGTATACAATTAAACTTATACTGGTATAAATCTACAGAAGGATTTTGGTGACTGGATTTAATCACGGAATAGCATCCTCAGTTGCTTTATATAATTTTTTTCCAAGTCTCTATACAACACTAAATAGCCACTAAGTATTTCAGTGTCAGAGTTTTGTGTGAAATGCATTTTTTTTAACAGAGGAAAACATTAGTGTTTTCTCTGTAGTGCTGCTAGAGAATGGTGGATGATACTTTGGATTCTTTTCAGAGCATGTCTTCCATCTTTTATGAAAATTTCTGTGGAAAAGCACAGTAAATTCAGGGTCTATTTGTTTTTGGTTATCCTTTTTTGCTGTGCCACAGTACAAGAGAAAGGGGGATGAAGTATTGATTTATTTGAATGTCAGAACAGCTGAACCTGCAAATTACAAATATTACAAGAGGTCAATGTGATTTTAAAATATAGACTTAATATATTAATTCAGTACTATTTGTATGTATGAGATATGTATCCTATCCTCTCAGAAGTCAAGCAGCTGTACAAGGTTTTTAAAAATATATCTTCCCATGATGTAGATAAATAAGGCTGGGACTGGTGTTGGAAAAGCTGACTGCCTATATTGCAAAGGACGTGTGTGCGTGTGTAATTTGATACATTTCTTATTGAAGGACGATGGGGAATGAGACTATAGGACTCTCAGGTGATGAATATATTGTGTGTTGCAGCTATAGACCTCCATCTGTTTCTTATTGGGATAGATCGAATACCTAGAAAAGAGTAGGAAGTAAGCATAAAATACTAATGGGAAAATAGGAAGAAAATGAAAATGGATAGCAGAGTCCAGTACTTGAGCTGGGTGTCAGGAGGTTGCTTCTTGACGAGATATATTATCTTCACTTTGTAGTTCTTCTTCAGGGTTTGATTCTGTTTCTGGGAGAGAAAAAGAGTCCAAAAATGCATGTCAGCAACAGGTGTGATGGCCTGTTTTTAAAATATCATCATCATCATCATCATCATACATATGGGCATATTCAAAATATCTTTCAGAATGCCACTCATAGAGTAATTGACTTGGAATGGGCCTGTAGGGCCATTGAATCACCACCCTGCTCAGTGCAGGAATCCAAATCAAATTAGATATGACCTATAATTGTCCAATTTTCTCTTGAACATTGGGCAGAGTACTGCACTGGAACACAGTCAAGCAACTATTCAGATCTGATAATAGTATATGGAAGAATAAAGTGAAATAAAAACTTGAAAAACACATTGCACAGTGGTAGAAAAGTTTTAATTGAGAGATTGTCACAGCTCAGCTATATAGTATTAATATATTTAGGACTGTTTTCTGCTTTCAAATAAGACTATCATCCAAAGGCATGATCATACCTTTAGATAATTTTTTTATCTGATACCTAACCAGTATTTCCTTCCACAAATAATACATGTGAGTATGTTTGAAGTAAAAGTTATGGAACAATAATAGCTATTTTTCTAGTGAATCTGCTGGAATTAAGCTGTGTGGCTTCTTAATTTAGATTAGGCATCCTTCAGTCTCAAGAGACTATGGTAACGTGCTCTGTATGGAGGACTTGGAACAGTGTCTAGTGTGACTGAGAAGGCCAATTTGAGAGTGACAATCCCTTCCACACCGAAGACAAATACAATCTGTCCCCTGTCCAGCTCCCTGATTTTGCTGGTTTCGGGACTGCCTCTTTGCCTCGGCCTGCTGGACAAGTGTCTCTTTAAATTGGGAGAGGCCATGATGCACCGCCTGCCTCCAGGCTGAACACTCAGATGTCAAGGTTTCCCATCTGTTGAGGTCCATTCCTTCTTAATCGTGCTGTGAATCAACAGATAGGTATATTATCACTATTTTTCATCCCTTCACAGATGTCCTTAGGTCTTCTTGGGAAGTAAGATAGTGTATACATATTTTAATAACAACAAAAATATTGTTAGTGCTAGAAAAAATGGCAGCCCACAATTCCTTGTCATTTCTGTATTTGTCAGCATTGTGTCAATAGATTCACACTTGTTATTTTGTCCAGTGCTACCTGTGAACATACCTGTGAGTCCCTCTTCTGCTTTAGCCAAAAAATCTGCTGGAATATTAACTATATTGGTAGCCAGGATATCAGCCTGCACAGCATCCATGTTCAAGTACAAATTTGTAGCATCTTGCTAGAGGGAAGAAAAAATCTAAGTATTTAGCAATCCAACAGTTCCTTAGTACAGTAACTATTTTGGAAAGATGGAGATACATACAAAGAGCTGTTCTCTTGCTAAATTTACCCTATGGATGCTAGAATATGTCATCGTCTGGGTCAGTAAAATTTAACTTAAATTAACTGAATACTTTCTATACTGCACATTCAGGTTTTAAGGCTCTCTTTTTGCCCTTGGGAAACCTTTGGGAGCCTTGGGATTGGGGATGGGAGCCCCTGGACACCTTTAATAGTAAAAATTTGCCACCAGACAAGGACTGCTAATCTGGTGGTGAATGTTAGCTATTAAAGGCTCTGCCTCCATTCTGAGGCTTCCCAATGCAGGGCAAAAAGGAGCCATAAGGGAGCTCTGGAACCTGAAAGAGGCATAAGAAGCTTTCAGTTAATTTAAATCAATTTTTTACTGGGTCAGATTCCACATGGTAAATTTACACTTGTGGAATTTTGGCCATTGGCACTGGATTCACATAGTACAGTGGAGCCTCGCTTAGCGATCACTCTGTTGAGCGACGAAATCACTTAGTGACAGAGTTTAAGCGATTGCAAAAGCGATTGCTTAGTGATGGTCCCTATGGGGAAAATTTGCTTTGCGATGATCGCGGGGAAGCGATCATCGCAAAGCCTCCATTTTCGGCCAGCTGATTGATGGTTTCAAAATGGCCGCCGGGTAAACAAAATGGCTGCCCACTGTGTGTCCTTGCTTTAGAGGCACCGAAAATGGCCGCCCCTATGGAGGATTTTCGCTTAAGGTTAGTTTTGAAGCCCACAGAAACGCATTAATGGCATTTTAATGCGTTTCTATGGGCTTTTTAATTCCGTTTAGCGATGAAATCGCTTAGCAACATTTTTTTCCTGCACGGATTAATGTCGCTAAGCGAGGCACCACTACAGGATACAATCTGTTTATACATGAAAATTGTTACTGGATGCTAGAATTGTATTAATAGGCATTAAACAGGCATTGTAGTCATAATCAGGGTTGAGCAGTACTTTTCTTAGACAACTGAAATAGACAACAAGAGTATGCTTTGGACTCCTTGGGACTTACTGCAATGGTCAAGGGAGAAAGAAAGATTGAAATATGATGGCTAGATTTTACATAGAGGTTTTAGGCTACAGAGTTATTTAGGTTAGCCAATTTGAAAATAATTGATGGGTTCAATTACCAGACACATTGCTTTCCACTTATTTACTAGAAGCAGAAAGGTACAAGGGTCTGGGCCAGTGGTAAAGAATCTTTGGATTTCTCAGTGTCCTAAACTTCCAATTGCCAGAAGTGACAAAGTCCAGTGGTAAAGGATTATGAGAGTTGCAGTATAACACATCTAGATCCAATTCAGGTTTGGCCCATTTAGCTTAGTATTGTTAGTTTTACAATAACTGTCAGGGACTTTCCAGGGATTATGTCTTGGAGATGTCAGAATTTAAACTAATGACCTTTTGCCTGCAAGGCATGTGTTCTTATAAGCTATGGTCTTCCCCTTCAAGATGAGAGAACAGAAGTTCTTACAGGTTAGATACAGAGTGAAAAAGAGATGGTAGATAGTAATAATAATAATTTCAACTTTTTTCCTGAACTCTGGGCCCTTTGTTGGGCTCTGAAACATGCCTGTCTTTTAGGTATTTGACTAAACTGAGCTGTATTATTGGGCAGAATAGATTAATTTTTGTATGGGCATGGTCAGATGGAAAATGGAATCTAGCTTGAATGTTTTTTTTAAAAAATCATGGCAAAGAAACAGTAGATGACAAACAACATACCATGAATAGCTGGAACAATTTTTCTCCCATGGCTCTCTTTACGTAATTCTCAACCACTATGAACCTCTGTACAAAATGCTGCGAAAACAACAACAAAACAGTCTATCCATGGTAAATAGTGTAATGGTCTTTTTGTTTGCCCTCTCAGAGCCAAGGGGCAAAAGATTCCACAATCAAGGATTTTCAAAATTTCAGTTATGCCAGTATTCTCTGCCTGCTTTTCATTAAGTTCCTTTCAAAGTATTTAGGTGTGGAAGTTCCCTGAGGCCTCCCCAGATCTCCACCCTCATATTCTATTTCACAGCAGCTGGTACTTTCAAGTGAAAAGTGTCTTTGTGAAATAAACTATACTGTTGCAGAAATGTACGTTGTTGTTTCAATATGGAGACTATTCTTTGTATTATAAACTGTTTTCAGCATTACTAAACCGTACATGTAAAACTGTAACATCACCTTACCACAGCTTGATCTTGATACTTCCATTTTGCTTCTGCCACTAATCTTCCTTAATCCCATTCAATCTACCCAGCACTGTAATTTATTCATTTTAGTTAATGCTTTCAAGAGGAAAGAAAATCAACACCCAATTCCACAGCCACTTACCTCTAGTGTGATGCTGGCCTGTCTCTGGCAGTTGGCATGATCTTTGTTGCCCATGGCACACATGAGGCCATGTACTACATTCAAGAAGATCAGTTCCTCAGCTACTTCTATTGAATCTTGAGCCAGAATACTATGAGGAGAGTTGCAGTCATATTGGTATGTTAAGCAGTGGAGGAAGAAATGTATTTTAGGGGACAGAGAATCCAAAATATTTATAGCCAAGACTTAGGTACTTTTAGTGCCTTAATAGTTGTCAATAGACAGCAGCTTTCCTAGTTACTGCACTGTCTCACTGCAGCTGTGAAAAGGCAGAATGTCTCAGGAAACTAAGGTGGTTGGAGCCAGACCAACCATATATGTAAAGAAGCAACTTGCTATGAAAGAAAATCTGCCTTCACTGGCTGTACTTTTGGAGGTGTGCAGAAGTAGCTCAATAGCTATTATTTGCTTTCTTCGTTATACTCCAAGCAGCTCATGACAGTATTTTACCTTTATAATAGCTACCTTGGGTGCCAGTTACAGGGAAAGGTTGGACAGTCAATCAAATAAAACAGAGGTCTGGCTAAGAGTGGTGTCTATTGCACATTAACTGAGCAGGTCTTTGGACTTAAACATTCGTATATCTAAATGCCACCACAAAGTTGCTTTTGAGACTTTGAATCCATGCTTGCTACTTCCATAAAAATACCAATTTTTAGGAATTATGCTATACAATTTAAAGTTGCCAACATCAGATGGAACTCCCTGGCTCCAGAGAACCCTTCAGACATGAACTACCTGTATAGTCTGGCCATTCCTCTCTGCCGAACTTGTAATATAAACTAGGATGTCAGGAGTGTGCCAGTCTTTCCTTCTTAAGATATCAATGCAACCAAGCTTAAAATAATATGAGTACAGCCTAGAGCTCAACTTGTTGTTCAGCATTGCTACAGAATTAGGATTTACACTATTCTTTTTGCCTTCCAAATTGCTACTGGTTTGAGATTTATGTTTGGAATAGGATGAGTATTCTGTAATCTCAGCTGTATCTTCAGAATCAGTCCAAGCTTCTCTGCTAGTGTAGGCAATGTGAAATCTTGTCATCCTTTTTGTCTTCCCATATACTCAGCACTAGTTCTACATATCAGTCATATAAGAAGCATTCTTGAATATGCACAGATCAATGATCTACCACCTCCTCATTTTCCTTTTATAACTGACCATGTAAATAATACTGGAGGATTTGTCCTATGTGATACAGCATCAAGCAGTGAGCATGTAAAACATGGCTACAAGAGTGAGCAGCAGTTGAAAGGCAATACAGAGCTTGCTCCTGTCCAGACTAGACTAGTAGCAATCTTCTACAATGTTAAGCACTTTGTGGAGTCTATCTGCTTGCCCCAAGACAATCTAACAATACTGGACATAATTTTTAGTGTCTTAACAAAAGGGTCCACAATGAATCATGATCTCTTACCCAATGGCTTTGGCTGCTGCTGCTTGCTGAATATAAGCAGGCAAGGACTCCATGAGTTGTAATGTGCCTGCTTCTGAATGTGGGAAACAATACAAGAATAAAGTATCATCACTCATAGCCTTCCAATACTTTAGCTTTTGCCCTAAAATATTGGCCAGGAGATCTGAAGAAAATGTAGAATTCCAAAGAAAATCCATATAAATTTTCCACTGTCCTAGTGGTGCTGTCTGACTTAGCCTACTGTCCTCCAATTATAACTATAAGTAAGACAGTGAATTAGATCTGGGCCTCAGTGTTGGGATGTTTTCTGTGATAGGGAAGAGATTCCCTTTCCCGACATGCTAAGGATGCAAATCCAGCCAGATTGCTCCAGAAATGAAAAGATGGTCTGGAACGCCGCCTGTTCCCATTTGAGGATCTCACCTTCCAGGAGTTTGGCCTGCATTTTGGCAGTCTCTTGTCTTGATGGCTTTAACAATGTAACCAATCCTTTCAGCACTGCTGGACGCACATCATAAGCCATGAGATCTTTGATTAGTTGAATTGCTGGAAACAGAAAGATTGGTAACAGAGTTTGCAAAATGCCCTTATTTACACGGATTGGCAACTTGTACTATACAACCAGCTATAGCCAGCTCAACTAATGAGGAAGGATGATGGGAACTGCAGTTCAATGACACCTGGTGATCTCTTCCCTCTCAGATGAATGGCTTCTTGGAGGTCTCATTCTTAGTCTGGACTCTCTTGTTGTCAGGAAAGTAACAGAGCAGCAAGTACAGCAACGTTATGTTTTGAAACGGCAAAATAAGGAGAATCCCTTGGTTGACATATCCATGGGAAAAAAAAAAACATGCATGTAGATTTTGAAGTGGATGAGCTTCCACTTCACAGGAAAGTGGATGAGCTTCCACTTACACAGAAAACAGCTCCAAATGCTAATTACAGACTAAAAGATGTTCCTTTGTGGAATTCTGCAAGAAAATATATATCAGACTATGAAAACTGTTAGGTCACCAGCCCCCTAAAGTCCCAATGCTAAGCCAACTCTTGAATCAACTCTTCCTGGAGAAATGACTACCGTACCTAGTAATACAGATTTAGTTCTAAAGCTGCATGTGGCCTTTTTAAAGAACAAATATATCTTATATTTCTCAAACTACTTCAAGATCATGGTGGTCATCATATAAATTAGCCTTTCAGAGCCATCCAGTTTTGCTGCTAGCTAGTCACCAGTGTATCTACTGTAGTATCAGCCCAAGGGAGATCTGAGCAGTTGCTTTTACCCAGCTTGAGGAACCTAGGTTGGGAGAGGCTGAAGCAGATATGAAACTTTTTATGTTGTGCTGTATTTTATATAACATTTGCTTTGGGCTGGATTGTACACAGGGCTGTCTCAAGCAACCGTTTTGAACTTGTAATTGATTTGAATTCTCTATGCCCCAGTATTTTGTGAGGCAGTGAAGTAGAAGGTTGTGAGTGTGGAGTCTTACCTTCGTATTGCACCTCCAAATGCAAAGAACGGAGTACACTCAGCACAGACTCTACAATGCTTGGATGGGCTTTCCCCACAATTATCTGGCAAAGCAGAGAAGTAGAATTAGATATTATTCCCTGGATTCAATTTCGTAAATATGAGATTTCCTCTAGGACTACTATGAATATAAAACAGGTTTGAAAAATATGAGTCATAACCAAGAGATTACAAGGAAAATAATCTCTGCATGGTCCAGTGGACAACAGTTCATGCTTTAACTTGCAAAGTGAATTCCAAATTCCTTTTCAGCTGTTGACTGCCTGCACAAGACAGTGTCATAGCACTTTGTTGTGTTTCTACTGTTTGTGAGGGAGACAAAACTTGTTTAGGAAGAACAATATGAGTGTTAAGTGTGGAAAGACAGATTAAAGCAATTGGCTGGGGCAACTTGCTGCCTGTATGTATCTTGAAGACAATGCATTTGTCTTCCAGAATACATCCCTTAGTGTCAGTTCTTAAACTGAAAACAGAAACAACAATTAATAATTACAGGATCATTGTGAGGTCAAATAAAGATTGTAAACTTGAGGCAACTTAAAGCAGTATGTGAGGTCAAATAAAGATTGTAAACTTGAAGCAACTTAAAGTAGTATACAGTACATGAAAAGTGTCCCCAAACAAGGAAATCTCACTCTAGCATTATAGCTAAACTTATACACAGTCCAGCACAAGTTAAAAAATAAATAAAGACACAGTATCCTGACTTCCTCTAGTTTTAAAATATTTCATCTGCCCAATGGTAGGATAATCAATAGGACCTTGCCAGAAGTAGGCTATCTTTTACAATTACTGTATTGAAGTTACCACTATGATAGACACAGAGTAGCATTTTATCCTTAATACAAATTTAAGCTAAAAAAACCCAGTGACTGACTGAAAGTCACCTAGTGAACTTTATAGCTGAGCAGAGAGTTAAACCCAAGATTCTCTTCAGGCCCACTGGCAATGGAGGTTTAGCAAGCGATGCTTATTCGTATGTCTTCCTTTTTTGGAATATTTTTGCCTTAAAGACAAGATGTGTTAGGGAAAGCATTACTTTCCCTCATTCCTTGTTTTAAGACAACATGCAAGTATTTTTCAGAAGCATCTGTGCTTGTAGCCTATCTTGGTTCAACAAACTGAGTATATATTGCTACAAATAGTGAAGTACTAAGAATATGTGCCTAATACACAAACTGCTAGTCTGGGTGACAAATTGTTACAAGTTTGATTGGTACAATAAGCTGAGAAAAAAAGCAATCTAATTTTTCCCTTAAAATACCCTTCTGCAGAAACAGATTATGCATTAAAGACTATGCAATTTATTACAGAATACTCCTGTAGATTAAACATAACTTTATTAGATTAATGAACATCATAAATTACCATGTATTTATACATTATGAAATGAAAGGTCAGAGGGAAATAAAGTAAAATGCACAGACTGCCCATTAGGTAGAAGCCTACATGTATGCAGCACTTTCTCAGTTAGTACAATGATTTTCCATACGTTTACGAAAGCTTTTGTATAATTTGTTATGGTCTGTGCCTTTTAACTTCAATCTCTCCCTGTTCTCATTTCCCCATCCTCATATGTATATCTGCCTATCAACTTAGGGTAACTCCTCTTGTATCTCATGGTCTCTCATCTGATATAGTTATGTGCCATCAAGTCTGAACAAACTTATAGCAACCTTAATAGGGCTTTCAAGATAAGTGAGATATTTAAGGTTTTATCAGCTCCACTCTCCCATGACCAAGTGGAGATTTGATCCCTGGTCTCCAGAGTCCTAGTCTGCCGATTCATCCACTACACCACACCAGGTACCCTGTCTGATATCTTTTTTAATATTCAAGGAGCCACAAGATTTGTTGCTACTGGTTGCAATTTAATGTGGACTATATTCAATAATGCTTCCCTAAACTTTCTATTGAAATCCTATTCCTTTCCACAGCATTGAAAAGGCTCAGCTGCCATATTTGAATAGTCACCATCCAGCTTCATTATTCATTCCAAAATATGGATGCATCTAGGGATTTTTGGATACTTGGAATGTAAGGACACATGTTCTGATCATGCTATGCAATCTTAATAGTTGTTTTTTGCCTTGTGAGCCTAGTCAACATCATGGAGATCCCTTAGAAAATGAGGTTTCATATATTGGATGAAAGAGAGATTGCCCTGCCTGCCTCTCTTTTTTGCTTTGCTGACCTGTATTGTCCTCAGTGTTTGTAGAGACAGTTGCTGGGCCTTAGGGGAGGCACACTTTAGAAGAGCAATGAGGCCTTTGTACACCTGCATTTGATATTTTGGGTTACCGTGCCCTAAGGAATCCAGTAGAATCTGCACTTGCTCTTGAGTTTCTTCTGACTTAGAAGTGGCCAAAAACTCAGCAATTGATCGCACACCTGTGTAGAAAAAATTGTTTCTGAACAGCTAGTCTAAAAAGAGCCAGCTAAGTAGTTTCAGCTTTCAACTTATAGAACAATAAAGAAGTTTTAATATACAATAATATTTTATAACTAATAATGGATGCTCACATAAAACAATGCTAGCTAGGCAGAGTACTGTTGGCATGGCAGGGACTCCCTCCCTCTAACAGTGTATTATGCTGCTGAATTCTAACAACATTGCTGCCAAACAAGGACCTCTAAGACATTTGAGGGAGTATCAGCTTGTTTAGGAGAACCCTAAGGTATGCAGAAATAAAACAAATCTTTTAGCCCCACTCCTAAGAATTGTTTGCTCTGTTTAGAGGGAATAACTGTATAACATCCTGAAGAAGACCACTCATCTTAACAGGGATAACATATCATGATACGCTGATGCATTTCCCACTGCGACATTTTTCAGTGGCAGGCTGGAGATCAGGACTGGCACTAAATTCTGAGCATTCCTCCCATTTTCCAGGCTTGGAAAAGGAAAAGTAATGCTTATATCAAACCCTGGATTACCATTGAATAGTTGACATGCTTCACCCTTTCCGCCAGCTACAAGTGTCATGAAAGCATTGGTGATCAAAATTCAGTTCACAAAGGATAAAACAAAATGCAATATTACACCTTAACACTTATTGTGCACATTTTAAAAAAATGAAAAATAGTACCAGCTAGGCGGAACTGATAATGACATGTTTCCCATCAGGTAAGGAGGGGAATTTACTCCTCTCCACTATCTTTAACCTTTTTCTTTTCCAAAGTGTAGTCTCACTCTGTCATTTCTAGGCGAGGCTTCTTCCTGCTACAGTCATGAACTGCCTATAGATGCAAATATCACAGTTGCCACAAACTGCATGAATGTCACCCCCAGCAGGTACTTTGAAGTCAACTTCAAAGACTTAGGAAGCTTTTATCCACAGAAGCTGGCTCAGGGAAAGGTGGCCCCTGAATGATACACAAAGAGAGCAGGGCTTTTCTATCAATGGGACTCACTGGGATGGAAAAAAATAGGCCTAGTGCCGTGGGAAAAATGTTCCAAGGTGAGAAAACTACTTAACTGAAACATCTAGGAGCTGATAAGTATTGAGCCTTTCCCAGAAAAAATTGAGCTAGGAAGCTATAAATTGCAGTGTATTGGCCAATTTGTCTGTATTCAATGGTGCAAAAATCAACTACCTATGGTTTTATCTTTCATGTTCTGGTCCAAAGTGAACATGGCAGCACATCCAGAAAAGTTCAGTGTGGAAGAGCATAGGGCCAGAATCAAGTTCCTGTTTCTCCAAGGGAAAGGTGCAAAGCAGATCCATGATGAAATGTCACAAACTATGGGTGACAGTGGCCCTTCATATGCAACAGTTAAACGTTG